TTTCCGACTATCTCCGAAACTAATCGAAATGGTATTGTGGGCATCATTTTCTATGTACTAAAAGTCATTCCATAAAAATATTGATTACAAAAAAAAATTGAAATGAATCCCACTTCAAAAATAAACTTTCTTGGAAATATCAACAAGCAATTAATAAGTCAAGTCAAGTCAATTCTTCTTTTATGAATCACCAATGAGTGAAATAGTCACAAACACTGTTCAAGAAATAAGTCCAATTTATTTCTTCCCGATTTTGAAATCGATGAATAATTTTCTCCTATCTATAATCTGAACATATATAGAAAGGAAAAGTTCCGTGGTCACTAGAAACATCAGCATCTGCCTTGTACCATATGCACCCTTTCGTTACCTGAAGAGAAACATCTGTGTTTTTCCACAAAATATAGTATTTCTTACAATTTTGCGAATGAATCCTCCAATTTCATCTACATCTGTCTGTTGTTTACCCTTTGGGTGAACTCTTTTACTGATAAGCGCGTGGGTGGTTGAATAATAACAACTCGAACTATTGTGGAACATTTAGCGTTAATGCAAGCTGTTCAATTTGGTGAGTATTGAAAATATTTAGAATGTTTACTCGAAGATTTGTGTATATGAATTTGGTGTTGAAGATATTACATCATTGAACATTTTTAGCTCCAATAGAATTTCTGGAATTATTCATTAATTCGATTTCAAACATATTTTTTCAATATATGTGTAGTTCATTCATATATGCATCTATATTTTCAGGTATGTAAAATAACACACCTCAAAGATAGCAGTACTAAATTTCATAAAATTGAAGGGAAAAATCGAACGTTTGTTGAACCTTGAAAGAATGCAAGATCAGGCTGAAAGAAAAAACTTCCTTCTCAGTATTCAACGTTATATTTATGTCAATTTTATCATTAGTACTGTCTGGCACTTTCACAAACTCATTGAAGGATGTATAGCAATCGGTAATTACGTTATTATTTCAATTCCACTTCACTTAAATATTTTAATTGTAGTTTATTCTACGGAACTCTTTTGAATTTTTTTTTTAATAGTTGATGAATTATCTAAAATTCAAGATGAAATGTATATCTTAGACGCCTTAATATTTTCTATTCAGTCAAATATATGATGAAATTTGTATACATACTTCAGTGAACCAACCTATAACATCGTCCGTTTTTAGAAATATTGAAATTGATTCATTTCATATAAGAAATTTGCTGAAAAAAATCAAGATCGACATTGACAATTATAAAAACCAGGTTGCCTCAAATCGGATGGCACTCTCATGAAAAATCTGTTTAAAATCTGTTTTTCCGTTAATCAGCTGTCGCCCCCATACGAACGACAACTCTCAGAAGTTGAGAAACTTGTGCGAGCTAAGGACTAACGAGGTCTTACCTTTTAACGTGTGATTCCTTACACGGAATAAGCATTTTGTGAACATAATCTGATGACTTATTGAAGGTTTCCGTGACATTTTTTTGTGCAAACAGAGAAAAACAGTCACACATTTTGATTTATCGGTATTCAAAAGTCAATGAACAGTCTGAAAAAAATAAAGATTGTATTGGAGAATTTTATATCAGGTGTAGACAAAGTAAATTTCTAATGAACTCCGATAAGTTTCTACGTGATTTCAATGTATTTTTGACAAAAGATGTGCTTTTCATCAGTAACTTAGTTTTCAAAAAAAAACTGAGAAATTGTACCAGGAAGTTCTATAGAAAACTCCGATTTCCGTCATCAAGAATGAATTTTGTTCAGAATCAATTATCAACATATTTCATATCTTCCTAGGCATCTGTCAGAAAATTTTAAAATTGAGATGAAATCGAGAAGGAAAACTGCAAGATAGTTGATTTTTTCTGAGAATTTAGTGCACACTATTTTGGAATTACAGTATAGTATATTGAAGCCACATTGATTTTTTTTCATGCATATTTCAATTACATAAATATTTCAGTAACCAATAATCATCACAGGGGTCACAAAATATCGTTATTGATGTTTCTCATCTTCCAAGCGTCCCGTGACGGATCACAATTTTTTTTCTATTGACCTCCCGATTCATTCACCATTTACTATTCTTTCTTTGTTCAAAAAATTCATTCTACTCATACTAGTAGCAAAGTTATCTTGATCGTCAAATAAGCATTTCCATACGATACATATTTCATATGAGAAAAGCCTTCAATCAAACGAAGAACTTTATCGTCACTGAGAGGCCGTCTACTCATTTCGTCGATACATTATTGCCAAAGACTTGATCTTTAATATCGAAATTTGTTAAATAAAAATAGCTTCGACACAGTTATATTTGTTTTATTGGAAATAACTGATTCCGAAGATCAGTAAATGAAATTATCAGATTTTCTTGGCAGAACTCATTCTGAATTGATTTATCAGTGTCCATGACAACCACAGACAACTTGATTTCCTTTCAGTTTTATTAGGAGACATGTATTCTCATCAGATGATCGACTGTAGCATATTTACGATTTCTCACCGATGAATTAGTTCAATCATTGTTATATCTATCAAAAATAACTTTAACGCTGGGGCCATAGTTATTACGTAAATATATGTACTGATTCATATACAGAGAATCTTATCAAAAAAATTTTTATATAATTATATGAATATCAAGAAACACTTCATTGTGAAATTTTCACTAAATAGTTTTTAAGAAATGCAACACGTGTTTCGCTATGAAATAGCTTGTTCAATAGCTATTGTATAGCGAAACATGTGTTGCGTTTTTGGAAAACTGTTAAGTAAAGATCTCACAGTGATTCTGGAATACGTATTTCCATGTATTTTCATCAAGTATCGGCCGATTTCATCACATATATAAATATTATTCAAACATTATATATAATTTTGTCCCGCTCTAGGTTCCTGCTGACAAAAATTTGGAAAAAAAACGTCGATTTTGGTGATGTTTCTGAAGACATTCGAGTTTATTCAACGTTTATATAAACTTCAAAAAGTTCACTTCGTTGAATTTGAATTATTTGGCCTCAAGATGAATTCATCACGAACACTGCAACACGAGATTTGTCCAGATATGAATTTATAATTTGACAAAAGGTAGGTAGCACTCTCCTTGAGCAAGTTTGTTTTCAAATCCTTTCACAACTGATTCATCAATTTGATTTATCATAAATATGAATAAATGCCATAAGAAGTCAATATCCATGTTTGGGGACGCTATGAGAGAAAGGGATAAAGAGGTTTCACACAATTTCAATTTATTTAGGTTTTCATTTTGCTTCAATCGTATGACCAGAATTCAAAATTCGTTATTTTGCGCTAAAATTCCCTGCAATTTTTTTATCATCTCAGTAGGGAATGCTCGTAGCGATGAAAATTCATATTTTATCTTGTTCAAAAAATAGATGTTTCGAAATATATTCTGTCATAACTCTCAACAGATTTTCATCGCTCAGTTTTTGTTTTTTTAATAATAACCAAAGTTTAAATCATCAATATAATGATATTTTCAACAAAGTTAAAAACAACACTCCATTTTAAGTAATGGTGGAACACGTTTCCATCACGTGTTATTTTCTTTCAAGAGTATTCCACTCTTTTTATGACCTGTAACATATACCATAGACGTCAATGGGCCGACATGAGCATATATCACTCAAACTGGGTGTTAATTAGCATGTAATACTATGGCAGCTGAAATGTTGAGAAAATTTGCGACTACTAAATAAATGTAAGTGTACCATATGGAGTGATAATAACCACAGCTTCGAAAAACGATACCATCAATTACTCTTAAAGCCTTCAGTACTAATTTACGAAAAAACCATTTCGAACGAATAACGAACGTTTCGACTAATAGCGCATAATAAACACATATAATTTCAAGAGGAACGTTTAAAGATCTTTTTCTTTCTAATACTGCCTTCAAGGTGCGTGTTAGCTGCTGACCAGTGGTTCTTAATGCTGGTTTTGCCGCACCGGAGAAACTTTTATGCGTCTAATTTTATTACGGTCAAACCCAGTAATACTTCACGTTTTGGTAATTGATTTAGTGTGTAGCTTCATGAATACTGTATCGAATCTAATTTGCCAATGCTGGAAAACTTAAATGAACTCCTACTTTATTGCGGTTAGGACCGTCATAAGTAAAAAGTTTGAACATTGATTTTTGGATTGTTGAAGGGACCTTACGAGTGAGTTTACTAAGGTGAGCAAATGAACCACAAACTCTAATACATTTTTTGCAAGGGTTCTAAGATTATGGTGTTAAGCTTGATATCACATTTTTTAAATGATGCCTTCGTACTTTGATCAATATCAATATCAAGACATTTTATATGAATTAATTTTTATTTGTTTTTCGTTTACTACATGACCTTGTTTTTATTCATTTGCTGTATTATCCTATATTAGAGAAGTGGATTGGAAAAAATATTATGATATGGAAAAACGTTTTTCAAATAAAGTATTTCACTTATTCAAGATAAGCGAGCAACTTAATATTAATTCATTGAACCCATTTTCCATGAAAATAAGAATTTTAAAGTTCCACACATTGAAATTATGGGCTTTCAAACCACAGGTTTGAAGATTTTAGGATCTTGTGTAACAGCATGCCGAACTGTATCTGCTCATGGAATAGGTCGAATCTGTTTCACAGAATTCAGAATCAATGTAATGTTCAACCCAAGTTCGACTTCGCGTCAAGTGCCAAATTTTCTCGATATCATAAACGGACTTCAGTTAACTAAAACTGTTCATCTCTTCAAGAACAACTACAATCTCTTTCAAATTTTACATCGCACAGATCATATCCTCAAACCTAATAAAACAGTCGATTCAACAGAATCCTATTAGAAAATAAAACTACGTAGTGTACCACAAGTACACGATGCACTTTGAGGGAGACTGAATATGATCTCAGAAAAACTGATAATGATACCCCTTCATTTTGTCAATCAGTAGTCATCGATTCTGTCACCTCTTTCGAATAAATTCTTTAGCAGTTCTCTAGACTTTCGAGAACAAATTTAATGCATCCCAAATTTAGTAAGTAAGTTGCTCCTAAAATAGGAAGCGAAGTGAATCTTCGGGAATGGTTATCAATGAAAAAGTCAGTTTTGAACGGTATGTTGTTGAGAATGAATCGTGTAATGATTTCTGAAGATCTGCAACCCCATGTTCTAAAAGAATTTAATTTGACACTTGACAGTGGTATGTTGTTCAAAACAAATCGTGTAATGATTTGACAAGATCTGCAATCCCATTTTCTGAAAGAATTCAATTGGACCTAACTAGGAATCATAAAAATCAAACAATTGGCCAGAAAATATGTTGAATGGGAGAGACTGAATAAGAAAATCGAACTTCAATTGAAAGTTGCGAAACTTTCAATGGAGTACGCCATAATCTACAGAAAGCAGTACTTCAACTATAGGATGAGTCCAGAAATAACTCGGATAACGACTACACACCAATACGCAGGTACTTTTGACAATCATTGTTTCTTAAAGTATGCCGATGCCATGAACTTTCTTTGTAAATAGTTATACATCTGTTTCTGTATCAGATAATGCTACGATTTCCAGAAGTGATGCTCATGGACGTAGAAAAATAAATGGACTCGGCAAACCAATACCTTCAACACAGAATGTTTTGAACCCGCTCGGTTCGTTGGCGAGCGGGTTACGGGGAAGGAGGAATCTTGCGATAGACTGTGACATACCCTCCAACGACAGTGGTGCACGCAATAAATTCAATATGGGCAATGTAAACGAAAATATGCAAAATGTTATATACTTATAAAAACTTTAGAGATCTATTCATCAATTATTGTTAGAGATTATAGATATTTCCGATATCAATTACAGGAAAACTTCATTGTATTCGAAATAAATATAATTACTCGAAAAAGTCGGTTCTTTTAAAAAACTGTTGAAAATTGATAAATAAAAAAAGAGGAAGAAGGAACAATGTTTTGAATTGAGTATTTTGATCTATTCTAGTTCTATCATATTGAAGGTACAAAATGACATCACAAAAAGGTATTTCTTTATAATTTTAAGAGTAGACGGGTTACTAAAGTAATTAGTAAGATAATATTCACCTTTTGATTGAATTTACAATTTGACTGTCTAATTTTCTTCAACCCACCATTATTTTGTCGAGGCAGACTGTCTCTCTCTAACAACGAAAATCATCAAAAGTGTCATTGCCTCTCTTTGAAATCAAAACTCATTGTACATACGTTTCGCTAACCAAGTTAGCGCTAACTTGGTTAGTGAAACGGGCGTCGAGTGCGAGTGATTCCAGTTTGGTGTTTGGGTTTTAATCTTCTCCGAAGTTTCTAAGAGTTTTATTGATTTCGAAACAAAACAGTTTTTGTCAATATACTCCTAACTCGTTTTGTTGATGAATCTAATTTAGAGGATGTTTCATGATGAATTCTAATGTTGAAATATTTATCTAAAATCAGTTTCAATAGCTGCAATGAACGACCACCAATGGCATCTTCATCATACAAATGATCACGGAAATAATCATATATTTTTGGTGGCATGTTTTTCAGAGTATTATTCACCAAAACATTCATTAGGTTTTTTATTCTATTACTGAATATGTTGTTTGTTTTATGAAAAAATCTAAAATACTTTTCAACAACAACACAAACTTCTACTACTAACTTTGATGCTTTAGTGAGGTTTCGATATTCCTTTCTTATAAGCAGTGTAGAGGTAGTCTCATCATTTTCATCAAATAAAAGTGACTTACATCTAAACCATAAAACAATATTTTCCAGGCTCCTCGACACATAACCCGCCATATAACAGACAATATCATTAACATAATCTGTTAAACACCAAGCAGAAGAATGGAGAAAATCCAACGCTCGTATGTCTTCACTCAGTTTATTCTCAAATATTGCTTGGTCAGTAGTGGAAGAAAGATCTTCCCCATTCTCACTGATGGTGACTCGACCACTGTTACAAAATAATATCGAGGTTGCATCTAAGTTCAAAGAATTTCCCGTATCTCCAGCTTTTATTTCTGAATGAACTATCAACCTTTTATAAGCTGCATCAAATTGTCTAGCAGTTGGATTGTTATTGAATCCCCCACGACTTCTAACTGCTCCAAAGAACAATTCAACATGATCCTGGGATAATTTATAAGTTAGAATATATTTCAGTTTTCCAGATTCGACATAAGATTTGTAAAGGCCTTTGAGGCTCTCTATATAAATGAGAAATCCTAAAAAAGCAGTTTTTCTCTTTGATTTCAATACCTCAACTTTTCCTGTAGACAGATGCAATATATATTCCTTAATAATGTCAAGATAGTCGAAAAATTGCTTACTCGTTACAGGAGACAAAGGTTTTTAATAATTATATTTAGCAAATCTATTTTTTGCATTGAAAATGTCGAATAAATCATTGAAGTAACGGGCGAACAATGCAGTTGCTTCCGCTCCTTGGAATTCAGGCAGTAATAAATTTTTACATAGATATATCAAAGAATCTGCTACACTTTTACTTAGCGTTTGTGTGGCGATTTTGACTTTCATTTTTTCTCTAGTCCACATTATGTGACGTTTTCGCAGTTTTGTTGCAGCATGTAACCCCTCATTATATTGAATGTTAACTAATTTGTCAAAATAATCCCAACTCACTTGATTTTTATCAGAGTCTTGCAAGTTCTTATAAGATCCCAAACATTTTCTTACCAATTTTATCATATGACATGGATCTAGAAATAAATATACCTTTTCCTTCGTAACAGGATGATTAAAATGAGTTTTCATTGGTGAAACATTGAAATCTGCTCCCAGAATTGAAGCCATCTTGAAATTGGCTGCAGTACCATCAAATGTTATAGAGGACACAATTACCCCAGTTTCATCAACCAACTCTAAACCTTTCTTAACAAGACCAGCTTTGTCAGATCCAGAAAGACCATCTAAGAGAAAATATCCAACAGGTATTTTCCAACAACTGTTCAAACAAACTAGCATAAACACCAACACTTCTTTAGCTTCAGGAAGTTGATCGTTATCCAAATCAGTACCAATATCTACATACCCACAAAACTTTTTGCCAGTCCATTCAACTTGTTTCATCAAAAATTAAATTACAAATAATATCATACACCAAGTGCTGGTGTATATTTTTGAGTTCTGGGACCCTTAAGCATTCTTTTGAAAAGTTCAGATGTTGACTCTGACATAGAAGCCTGCAACCAAAAATTTGCTAGAAATCTTTGAAGATCAAAAAGTTGTTATCACATGATTTGTTATAATCGAGTATGTATGAATTCAAAAGAACATAAAATAGTAACTTGCTGGAACTTTCAACTTCTCAGAATGAGTCGATTATTCATAAAAGAAAACTTTTGTTTCAATTCCTTCACAGATTGTGGAGATGATAAACAAAATAAAAATTTTAGAGTTAGTGGAAAAAAAGGAGTTTTTGTATATGTTTAAACTGTACCCATAATGCTACTTGAAATGAAGTGTATAGAAAAAAATAAACACAAAACCCAATATATCCCATAATGCGCTACATATTATAGCACCGAAAATTGTTCAATCACTTCCTTATGACATCAAAGATGACTATTCCATTATCATTATCATATTTTCTGCTCGGCAAAGAAGTTCATGAGCAATCAACTCTACAAAAATCTATAATTTTCATACAATTTGTTATGGTGGTGAAACGGATTGAAACCTTATTAACTCACTCTCAATGAACTTTCACAATCTTCACGGACCAGAGATTTAGCTTTCAAATGGTTTATCAGTGAATTCAAGTTTGTCACCTTGGACCGCAGTCTCCGCACTGACTGTTGTAAAGTTCTAATTTTAGTTTTCTGGCCTGTCAAGATTTTTTTCATTGTTTTCAGATTT